GAGACCAGCCTGAGCTACAAAGTGAGCTCAAGGCCAGCCTGAACTGCGTATCGAGAGTCTGTGTGAGAAAGAGAGGAAAAAAAAAAAAAAAAAAAAAAAAAAAATTGTCATTGTAAACATTTATCATCCCTTCATAGTGAGACTTCAGAATGTTTTCTTGTAGATTTTGAAATGTGCAGCGCGTTGCCTCTAGTCACTCGGATGCGCAGAAGCACACCAGAACTCCTTGCCCCCATCTGAGTGTCACTGGGCACCCGTTGGTCACCTTGTGCCCTCTCCCTTCCCTTCTCTCTCCCAGGCCCCCGGGAACCAGCACAGTGTCTGCTCTCAGCTTATGTGAGGTCAGCATTTTTAGATCGCACAAGAGAGAGCATATGGCGTTTGTTTCTGTGCCTAATTTCGGTTAACATAATGATTTCCCCTCTTTTATCCTTGGTGTTTGAAATGACAGGGTTTCATTCTTTTTATGGCTGACTGGTATTCCACCGTTTGTGTATGTTTCTTTATTCATTCATTAGTTGATGGACACTTACGTCTTTTGCATTTCTTGGCGGTTGCCAGTAAGTAGTATCTCGTTAAACATGGCAGCAGAAGTGTCTTCAATATACTGACTATTTCTTTTGGTCATTTATGCATAGGGGGATTCCTGGCTCAGTTTTTATTTTGTGAGGCACCTCCAGAGTTTTGGTTTTTTGAGACAGGGTTTCTCTGTAGTTGATGCTGTTTTTAAACTCACTGTGGAGCCCAGGCTGGCTTTAAATTCACAGCGATCCTCCTGCCTCAGCCCCTCAAGTGCTGGGATTACAGGAATGTGCTACCATGCCCAGCTTCCTCCAAACTTTCCTGTACGGTTATATTACTTTACAGTCCCCCAGAGTGTGCGGTGGTTCCCCATTCTCTCTGTTCTCTCTTTCAGTCTTGTTGATAATGGCCATTCTTAACTCAGGTGAAGTGATTATCTCATTATGCTTTCAGTTTACTTTGTCCTGATAGTGATGTTGAGAGGTTTTTTTGAAAAATATTATAACTGGGCTGGGGATTTAGCTCAGCGGCACAGCGCCTGCCTGGCAAGCACAAGGTCATGAGTTTGATTCCCAGTACCGGAAAACAAACAAACAAATAAATATTATAACTATTGGGCATTTGTGTGCCCTCCTTTGAGAAACATTCATTTATGTCAATTGCTCATTTTAACTTTTTTTAATGTTGTTGAGCTTTTGGAGTTCCTTACAATTCTAGCTACCAACCGCTCGTCAGATGCATGTATTGCATATATCTTCTCCATTCTGCACAATGTCATTTTAGTCTTCTGGAGGTTTCCTTTGCTAACAGAAGCTTTTTAGTTTGGTGCAGTACCACTTGTCTATTGTTTCTTTTCTTCCCTGTACTTTTGGGATCTTCAAAAAAATCTTTGCCTAGCCAGGCATGGCGGTGCACACCTGTAATCCCAGCACTCTGGAGGCTGAGGTAGGAGGGTCACCATGAGTTCGAGGTCAGCTTGGGCTACAAAGTGAGTTCAAAGACAGCCTGAACTACATAGCAAGACACTGTGTCAAAAAAAAAAATCTTCGGCTGTCTTGATTTAAAATTTTTTTGCAGTACTGAAAATTGAACCCAGAAATGCAGCACAACTGTACTACACCCCTTCCCTTTTTATTTGCTTATGAGACAGGGTTTTATGTTGCCCAGGCTGGCTTTGAGCTGCTGGTGATCCTGCCAAGTAGCTTCCCTGTTGGTTTTTTTAATTTTATTTTTATTAGTACATGTTTGTACTACATGCTGCCTACATTCATCGTGGAGTGTTGGTACATGTACACATCACATTTTCATTCTTTTAATGCTTCCTTCCCTATGATTTTTCCTAGTAGTTTTATAATTTCAGGTTTGCATTTCTGTCTTCAGTACATCTTGAGTTGATTTTTGTGATTAGCGAGAGGTAGAGATCTAGCTTTATTCTTCTGCATGTATTCAGTTTTCCCTGTGCCGTTATTGAAAAGACTGTCCTCTCTCCAGCACAAGTCCTTAGCACCATTGTGGAAAATCGGGTGGCTGTGGGATAACCAGAGCTTTGCTCTCTATTTGAAGTCAGGCTTTGAAATCCTTCCTGCTTTGTTCTTTTTGCCTAAGTAACCTCGGCTTTTCTTTAGGTGTGTGCACTGGCCTGCGTGTTTCCATGTATATTTAGAGTGTGCACACTTAGTGGTATTTAACAATATTGTTTCCTGCAGTGGGTGAATGCAGGGTGTCTTTTCTTCTGTTCTGCTTGTCTTCTTCAGTTTCCTTCATCAGGGTGTAATTGTTATTTCGTCACTTTAAAACTATGAAGTATTTTTTCATAGCTATTACAAAGTCATTGCTCCAGTGTAACACTGACTAGAGGTGGTGAGGGCAAGCGCCTTCACCTCCTTGCTGCTCTTTGGAAAAGTAGTCAGTGTTTAAAAGAGATGGTAGGGGAAAGTTTTTACTGTGACGCCTTCTGTCAGGTGGAGACAGTTCTTTTCCATTGCTAGTTTTTGCTGGCACACTCCTGTAGTCTCAGAGTACTCCCTGAGACTGAGGCAGGAAGACCAGGAGTTCAAGCCCAGCCTGGGCAACCTAGCGAGGCCTTGTCTCAGAATAAAGTGAGAAGGGCCACCACCATTCTCAGTGGTCACCACCCCACGTCAGCATACTTCCCTCCCCGTCCCCATTTCCTCTCCGCCAGGCCTCCCTCCCTCCTTCTCTCTCCCCAGCCATAGTGAGGCTGGGAATGTAGCTCAGTCGTAGAGCGTGCTTTTTCATGCATTTGGACCATCGTGTGTGGTGTTCTCATTATTCAAAATGCTCTTCCTCTGCTTGGTAGAGACTTCCTCATTCCTCCCGATCCAGCTCTTACTGTAGCAGCTTCTATAAATCTTTCCCCAGCTTAATCCAGTGGAATCATCCATTCCCTCTTCCCAAAGCAGTTTTTACATGTGAATACGTCAAATACAACATCTGGTCTATTGCATTTCAGTTGTTTGTGTCACTTCCTTTGCTAGATTTTTGGGCATGTCATATTAAATGTTGCAGGTAAGTGCTCAGTATTTTTAAATCAGTAAACATGTCAGATTTTTAAATCTTTCTCCATAGGTGCTGCAGATGATTACAATAGAATTGGTTCTTCGTTATATGCTTTAGGAACTCAGGATTCTACCGATATATGCAAGTAAGGATTCTGTTTAAGAACATTAAATATAAGAAAGGCAAACTTGTAATCTGAGCAGCCTTTTTGGAATGTTTCTTTCAATTTTATTTATGTATTTGTTGTTTGGTTTTTTTGGGGGGTGCAGGGTCTCACTGTCTAGCCCAGGCTGGCCTCGAACTCAGGGCAGTTCTCCTGCCTCAGCCTCCTGACTGCTGGGATTACAGGCATGAGCCACCACACTCAGCTCAAAATGTTCATAATAAGAAACTTATTTATTTATATTTTTTTCAAGGAAAGTTTTTTTATGAGCTTGGGTTCAGTTTTTCTCCCTTTATCTCAGAAATAAAAATGGGCTTTGATGTATATTTACAGTGTTTTATTTGATGAAAATGGCTGATTTGTATGTGTAAGAAAGAATTTTTATATCAGTTTTGTTACATGTTTGTTTTTGCAGTACTGGTGGTTAAACTTAGAGAGTACTGAGCATGTGCCACTATGCCCAGCATCCCTTTTTCTTTTTAAGGAGAAAAAAAATTCAAAGCAGGATAATAAGAGCCAGCTGTGGTGGTGCACACCTGCAGTCCCAGCACTCGGAAGGCTAAGGCAGGAGGATCAAAGTGAGTTCAAGACCAGCTTGAACTGCATAGTGAGACCTTGTCTCAAAAAGACCAAAAAAAGATAATAGGAGGGTAACAATGGTTAATTCATTGCATATTGTTATCTTTAAATGAGTTATTCAGAGTACAGGGTATCAGCATTTAATTGTCCAAACAATATTAGCACAAACCTTTCTTCTTTTTTCTTCTTCTTCTTCTTCTTCCTCCTCCTCTTCCTCTTCCCTCCCTCCCTCCCTCCCTCCCTCCTTCATTCCCTCCCTCCCTCCCTCC